ATTTGAACGCATTTTCAAATTTAACGGTAAATTAATTCGTAGGCGCATGAAATATTTGTCATATTTAATGAGATACATGACAAAACCGGAAACTCAGTTAAACTTGTATTCCACAAAATACTAAGATAGAATGTAGTAGCATTTGGACAGTAACGATTTTTAAGCGTAAGAATTTAATCGCTCTTAGAATTTAAAGTCGCGTTCTTCTTAGCAGATAACCCCAGCTTGAGAGAACTAACTGATGTGTCGAATAAATTAACGCATTTGGTCAACATAGAAGTCTTATCTTTAACAATATGGAAAGTGATAATTTTTAATGAATTCGTCTAGGAGACAATTTATCTAATGGGACAGGCGTTACTTTTCAAATTATAAATTTATAGTGATCATGTTTAACTTGTCAGAGAGGGGGAATGAATTATTTTATGTATGTGATGTAAGAGATTGGAAGAGGATTTTTGGGCTCTCCTATTGAAATATACTCAAAGTTGTAATATAAGTAATATGAGGGTTATGTAATAAAAACAAATGTGAATAACTAGTGATTCTAAAAGTAAAACGTAAATTTTTAATAATTTTTCAACATTTTAAGGTTAAACAGGAGAATTCGATTCGTATTGTTCAGCCTTCAAGGAACTTTATCTGGTAGCGAAATGACTAAGGACTTTTGGTTCAACAAACATGCACAGGAGAATGCAGACAAATTGGACGCACACTGAGGAGACGGTTGAATGATGTCACACACAAGGCAGACTGTTGAGCAGAACTTGAATGTGAAAATACGGATCGGTTTGTGGTCTGAAGGCAACATAAAGGAGGTCGTGTGATGAGGTATATGAAAGCTTATGGGCGACAGTAAAACCAGCTGGAGAAGACCTCAGAAAACACACGGAATTAGTTATGTGCTACTGAAGACGTATTCTACGGTTGGAACCCATGGGAATAATTAGAAAAATTCTCCTAAGTACTTAAAATACTTATTTAGTTTAAAATCATTTATTGCTTCTTTTCCTATAAATAACAGTTACAGTTACGTAAAGTAGAGTAATCCTCATTATTAACGTTGGCGTGACTGTGATGATTTTTTATGCGTTATTCATATTGTAACGTCGCCATAATAAACTTTATAATCCAGAAACGAAAATGCAGAATTATACATACGTATTTACGACTACGTAGTTTTATTGCTGTAAATTGTCATGGTACAAAAGGTTTTAGTGAATGCCATAATACAAAAAACAAAAGAAGTGTGCTCGAGTCACAGTGAAATACACAGTTATATACATACAAACCTATTGAAATTATAGTTTATCGAAGATTAAGAGTTTTAAAACACATTTAAAGGAAGGCTGAATAATAAGACAGACCATATACGTTTTGTACCTCTGAAAAGCTATTTTAAGTAAACCGAAAATTTACTCTGAGTGTATTGGGGTTTGTCAAATAGAAGTGGAAGTAACTCCAGCAATCAGCAAGTTACCTTACTATTTTCTTTAAAAATTCTTTTACATTCTCGGTGGAAAATAGAGGGCTTCAAGCTACAGCTTTGAAGATTTGCTGGCTGTGGTATTTATTTTTAAGGAATGGCATTGCTATCCTCTTGCCCAACCTTCCCTCTTTACCAGTTTTCTTACTGGCATGGTGAGGTAAAGGGGTACGTCGGCAGCCGGAGATCAAAACCCCGAACCACTTGCGTGGTTGGCGAGAATCCTACCACTCTGCCATGCACGCACAAGTTAATTTACTTTGCACATCATTATTTAACATTTGAAAGCAAAACTGGCTCAGTTTAATAGTTTACTAATAGTCAGTCACTGTACGGTATATCCCTGTGTTTGAACACACTGCCACCAATCACCAAATCATTGAAGGCGCAGAAGTCTGAGAAGAGTTCAACATTGTCGTTCATTTCACCGAGGGCCTCGCGGCCCATGGTGAGTTCTCTTCCTGTATTGTCTGAGCATCAACAACAAAATTCGGATTTTCAGTACAAACGTCAAGTCAGTCAGTTCTTCTATACGGATCAGAAACTTGGCGGGTCACAAAGAATATTTCCAACAGCCTGTTGCAGACCTTTATCAACAACTGTCTTCGCTCTTTACTCAAGATCAGATGGCCGGAAAGAATCACCAACAAGAAACTGTGGGGACAAACGAAACTAGAACCAATCGCTCAACAAATATGCAGGAGGAAGTGGAGGTGGATTGGACACTCGCTGAGGAGGTCGCTGGGTGGCATCGCGCGTCAGGCTATAATTCGAGTGGAACCCGAAAGGGAAGCGGCGAGTGGGACGTCCAAGGGTGACATGTAGGAGATCTTGTGAAGAGGAGTTGAAACAGTATGGACTAACATGGATGCAAGTGAAAAGTACAGCAGAAGACAGAAGCAAGTGGAGACTTGCAGTTGGAGCCCTATGTTCCACTAGGAACCCAAGGGAACAATAATAATAATACGGTACAATTTTCTAACTGTTTCTGATCTATCACTGGGCAGTTCACGGTAAAGTGATGTTTTTCAACTGAAGTTTTCACACTTTATTTAGAAGTGAAAATTATGAAAGTGATAGATACGTGAAAGCTATTTGTATAGAAATAAATGGAGTGAATGTATCACTGTGTCGAATACCTGATGAGGCATAGGCCAAAGTCAGCAACATTCATCATAGGATTACTTAAGTTTACCTTAAGACACGTTTTTAAAGCGTAACATCGAACATGAACGTAGCTAATAATGATACTAAGATGCCATGTTTGCTCTACAGTGACATGGAGGAGATCGCGCGAAGAGGAATTGAAACAGTATGGATTAACATGGACGCAGGTGAAAAGTACAGCAGAAGACAGAAGCAAGTGAAAACGTGTAGTTGAAGCCCTATGTTCCACTAGGAACCCAAGGGAACAATAATAATATTCGCTCTACAGCATAGATTTTATTCAGATTATATGTGGCTTTAAATTCGCTGCTAAACAAAGTGATTTAAACGAATAATACGAGGAAAATTCAACATAGAGTCTAACGAATAAATATGAAAAACATTAAGTAAGTAAGAATAGTTTTAAAAACATTTAGGCCGATTTTTTGTCTTGGTGACCTGTAGAGTTCACTAAGTATTGTATTACTTAAGTGAACCGAAAAGGGGTAAAAATGGACGCTATTCACTATTTACTAAACTTAATGAGCATTTGAAATTAAGTTAGAAAATCCTTCCTTCACAGAAAATATCTTCAAACAAGGGAAATTATCACTATAAACCTACTCACTGATGTTCATATGAATGAATACAGTTTTTATGGATTTTTAGAAAAATGAATAAACTTCATTCAGTGTATTATTATTATTATCATTATTATTATTGTTATTAAGATATAATCCTAATCTTATTATTTTAAAAAATCATTTATTTCTTGTTTTATTTGTTTCAATAAAATATTTTAAAACTTGAAAAGGTAACAGTTTATTCACTAAGTGAAAGTGCGTTAGAAATACTGGTACGAATATATTGACAAACATTCAAATCGGATTAATGTATTCGAGTATAAACACTTAAATAATACATAAGCTGTGAATGTAAACTGATACGCATGTTTATATGAAGGTAGGATAACGGATTAAATAAAAAGGGAGACCTTAATTAGGTAATTTTGTCTAAAGAAGAATATGCATATTCAGATATTACCTGGTGACATAAATGCCTAGTAGATTGCTGTTCGTCTTTTTTGAAAAAGAAACACACTTGTCTCAAATTTTTGTGTGATTTAAATAGTGTGACGTAACACTGTAGTTTAGTGAAAAGAGTTATGCATTCATTGCATTTAGGAAGAAACAAAATTTCTATTAGGAAAGAAGCTTCAATTCACACACTGATATCATGATCAATAAAATGATTGCTGTTCAGTTCTTGCCTCTTATATGATACATTTGGATACAAGCTTTAACACTATATGAAAAATTATGTCACATCCCATACTATATATCAATTTATAAGGGTATCTGTGTGGTCACACCTACATCCGTAGCAACAACTGAGCTTACCACTTGAGGGTGGAACAACAAGTATATTCACACAAATATAAAATCAAATATACTTTGAAATCTCGATAAACTCAGGTTGCAGAGCACTACTACTTTGTTTATAGCAAAACGCATTTAACTGATATGAATCACAAAACTGATATTGAAACAGCTTTCATGATTATTTATAAAAACATTTAGGAAGTAACTATTAAAATACGCTAAAGCGAAACCTTTTCTTAAAATTAGGGTCCTCGCCTAACGTGTACAAAACAGTTCATTGTTACCTTTACCCTTATTCGGTATTTCATTTTTCATACAAATTAATTTGACAAGTGGATGTGTGATCAAATTGTTGGAAATACATCACATTTTTCAGGTAAACTCCGCCTCCGAATAATGCTATCTTAAATTTTAATTATCATACAGTTTGATGAATATAGAATTACTTCCTTACAACAATAAATACATCTACTACTTTTAATGTTTCGTTCAATAATTTGGAATAAAATTATTTTGAAATTTTCATGAACATTGTCAGAAGGAAATTTTTCTTCACAAACACTACAAATTTGAGGCGTTTTTAAGGACTGGCATTAAGTTTTGAAGTAGTGAAATGAAAAGAATAAATATAAAAATATATGTCAAAATTTTCAATTAAATGCTTTGTACAAAGTGTAACTAAATTTAACCAGAGGTGAATAATAAGACAATATGTTTCTCAACGTCAAAATGAAGGTCCCTGACACAGATGTTTACAAAGACGTTCAATATTTATTCGAAAGTCTTAGGTATACACTTCCGTTAACCTTCAAGAAGTACTGGGGCACTCGATGAAACACTATTCGAGTAGCTACTTGCATACAAGGACAGGATAAGAATAAAAATTACAGGGCGATTAAAGCAACAACTATAAAATGCATAATTTTCTTTTAAAACAAAACCCTAACAAATATTCCAGTTATAAAATGAACAAATAAACAACTTACTATTTTTCTATGGAAGAAAATTATCACTGAAATTGACAATTTCAAAACATTACTTTTGTCCGTAATTTTTGTAATGTAATTATATGTAATTACTCAAATAAATATCTGTTCAATATGTACTCAGAATAAATTAGTGGATATATATATATATATAAGTATAGTAAATTACACTTTTTATAACGCCCACAAATAATATTTTAAAAAATCTTGGAATAGAATGAATAAATCAAATGGACCAATCGGAATGCAGCTGTTGTTTTAATTAATTAACTAAATAGAATTTCAGCGAGTAAAAAGTAATGAATGACAGAACATTTTCAAAATTCGTACTTTTTAAAAAGATTTGTTTACATGTTTTGAAGAATGCGTTTTTTCTTCCTATCTTGAAATTTTTCTGACGAAAAAAAAACTACTTAGAGTAATTAGACTGTTTCTAAAAATAAGCTGACATTAACAGCTATTTTTCCAATGGCGGGTTTTCTGAATTTGTCAAATGATATTAGCAGTTCATTTTGCCTTTTCTAAAAATAGCCATAATTAGACCTCTCAGCTATGTGTCCTATTCATGATTTTAAATTTGTAGATATGGAAATATTGAAGGCTTCTGATCAAAAGTTTGGAATAACAGTCCAGTGATCTGATATATTTAAAAGTTATTAAACTTCATATCCGACGAAATTTATCACGATAAGCATTCTAAATAACCAAGATATACATCATAAACATTCAATGATGATTGAAGATGAAAGTTTGAAAGTCTGTCTCATGGCAGTATTCAAATCAGCTGACTGTGAATGAATGATTATTTCCATAGAAACACTTGTGTTTCTAACATTTTGTTCCCTTGATAAATTTCAGTAGTGAAAGAACGACTAGATTTGCAGTATAAAATGATATCATTCTATTGCACAGGTTCTCATCAGCTGCAGACTGCGACATGAGTTAGGCATCCGTATTATTTGACCACCTTAATGAGATCCACCCAAACATTAAATACACCATGTAATGTGAACACAACGACGAGTTCGATTTCCTTGACCTTAAGGTAAATAGAAGAAACGATGGAACGGTTGAAAAGTTCATAGACAGAAAAGAAACCTGGACTGGACAATATCTTGATTACAACAACTTCTGCCCTCGTAAGCTATAAGCGAGGATTAGTCAGGAAACTGTATGGTAGAGCCAGAAGGTTATGTTCGCATAACAAGATGGAAAAGAATTAAGGTTTTTTGAAAAATGCCCTAGGGAAAATGGGTATCCAAAAGGATTAATTCTTAAGTACAGCAAAGAAAAGGACGAGAAAGTGAAGTTTGAAACAGTTGAAAAAAAGGAAGTGTTAATTTGTCTTCCATTCAAAGGAGAAGCAGTATCACAAAAGAATGACAATAGAATGAAAGGAGCAATAAAAAGATGCTCCCATGCTGCTAATGTGGTGACACTGTGCTCTATAAGCCAATCCAAACTAGATAATTAACCTGCTGATGTTACCTACAAACACATCTATAAATTTACGTGCATCTGTGGCAGCAAGCACATTGGAAGGACAGAAAGAAGGGCTTCTATCTGGTTTTCGAAGCATATTCCAAGAAACTTAAGCTTAAAAGGAAGAGGATATTTATAAAGTTCATTAAACAGACACTTTTTGGATACGGGTTATTTCGTTGAGATTTCCGAGTTCTTTAAAATATTAAACATACAAAGAACAACGAATCTACTACGACTTGCTGAAGCAATTGCAATCAAATGTTTCATTTTTTTATTACAGCTTGATGCCACACCGTATTTTCAGTACAAGTATGGAATTTTCAGCATGGATATCGGTAGCCCAAATTTTGCAGGCCGACCATAAATATCGGGTGTGCGTCGGTAGGCGTTCGAACCCCGGACCATGTGCATGGTCGGCGAGAGTCCTAACCACTGTGCCACCGACACACAGACCAAACTTATGAAAACAGGAAAAGAGTGTAGTCAATCTATCACTTTGACTACATTGATTAACCAGTCATACACATTGGAGAGATCAGTTCGGTGAGTCAGGTTTCAACTTGATGAACTTTAACCTTCTCCAGTTGTTATGTAGACGTACAAGATAGCACTGTTTATTCGGTTTTTCTGTGTTTAATCCTCTCTAATCCTCTCCCCCTTTTTCATAGTTTGAAAGCATATAAATTGATGGTGACTAAAATTACAAAATTGTAATACTTTTATTTCGGATGCGTTCATCTTATAATGTTTTCTCTATCACCTTTCAAACATTGAAGAATGAAATTTCATTATTTATAACCACTGTAATTTCAGGCAGTTTGCAGTTAGCTGATAAGAACCTGTGAAATAGAATGACATCATTTTATACTGCAAATCTGGTCTTTCTTTCTCTGTCAAAACTCCTGTATCTCTTGTTCCGCTAAAAAGATTTGAAAAAATAATACAAGAAATAACAGTTTTAAGCAGAATATTATTTTATTATCATTGTTGTTTCATGTAATTTCTAAATATTTTACTATTACATCTAGATATGATGGAGAAGATTTGTAGCTCAGGTGGACGATTTTGATGTGGTTGTGTTCTCTGTGCTGGATAGTTAATTTGAGAAGCTTTCATCATCCTACTAGGTGAAATCTTCAGCGCATAATTCAATTTGAAGTGAGCTTTTAGATTTCTCCACGAGTTTATTAATCATCTCTCCTGGTGACCTTGGACGTGATTGGTTGTTTTTGTGAGTTTTCACACCTTCTAGGCTACTTGTATTGGAACTGATTGTTTCTTTGACTTGAACTTTGACCCTTTGTGTGTGAGGTTTATTTCTTATCGGTTGATAAATTCTGTCAATCTCGATGTGTCCATTGATTGATGATTCACTGAAATGCCAATCTTCTTAAAATTCTCTTGCATTCTTGTTGTTTCTTCTGTCTAATATTTGAAAATTGTCGCAATCAAGGGAAACGAGTTAGAAAAAAATCACAATTTACTAAACAACGTCTTCAACGAAATCAGATTCACAAGAGTAGAGGAATCCGAGAACGAAATCTCATTTTTGAACGTCTTAGTGAAGCGAACAACCACGGGGGAATTATGAACTCAAGTTTATAGAAAATCAACTTACACACACCAAATACTGAATTACAACAGCAACAATCCAATAAGACACAAAAGGAATTACATACAAACACTATTCAAGAGGGCCAGGACTCATTGCAGCACTCCCACCTCACGGAAAAAAATTGAAGAAAGATATCTCATGGACATCTTCAAAAACAGTGAATATCCATGGAATTTCATCAAAAGATATATACCCCCAAGCCAACCTATCAAATCAAAAGTCCCCAAGGAAAGCACAAACAAAGTGACCCTGCCATATATAAAGGATATATCAGAAATCACTGCACGATTCGTCAGACCTTTAGGAACTGACGTCGCACACAAACCAACAAAATCACTTCACTCAGCTGGCTATGTGTCAACCAAAATAGTCAACAACGAAAGAAGATAAAACTAACATCATCTACAAAATAAATTGTATCAACTGCGAAAAACACTACATTGGCTGGAGTGGACGTCCCCTTCGTATTCGTATCCATGAACATTGGCTAGCCGTCAAAAGACGTGAATTCCACTCCCTCATATCACTGCCTACAGACAACCACGGACATCAATTCGATTGGGACAATTTTCAAATATTAGACAGAAGAAACAACAAGAATGCAAGAGAATTTTAAGAAGATTGGCATTTCAGTGAATCATCAATCAATGGACACATCGAGATTGACAGAATTTATCAACCGATAAGAAACAAACCTCACACACAAAGGGTCAAAGTTCAAGTCAAAGAAACAATCAATTCCAGTACGAAAACAACCAGTCACGCCCAAAGTCACCGGGAGGGATGATTAATAAACTCGTGGAGAAATCTAAAAGCTCACTTCAAATTGAATTATGCGCTGAAGATTTCACCTAGTAGGATGATGAAAGCTTCTCAAATTAACTATCCAGCACAGAGAACACAACCACATCAAAAAATACTATTACATTTCCACCACAAGCAATAACGTGGTCTACATTGTAATTTGGTCTTAGTAGTTATATAAGAATTTATTCAAAAATTTAAGCAAAAGTATGCTAGTTATCAGATGTTTAAACACAGTTCACTTGTATTGGCAACGTAGTTTCAGCTACAGGCAGGATACAAAGGGGGGGAAAGTCAGGATTGGGGAAGCAAGAATGGCATTCATTACTCTCAAATCAGTTTGGTGATCTACAGCACTCAACACGTGGAATAAAAATATTCATTACCTTTCAAAATTACAGTATGCTCCAGTAAATTGGTACGCACGTCATGAGAAGCTTTTCCAGTAGACCACTGTTGGTCTTTACCAATGGCTGCCTACTTTGAACACTATCGAATATCAGATATTTGGTCCACAGAAGATAACAACGCACCAACAAATAAAGGAAAAAATAGAGGCTGATTCGACGTAAGCTGAGAAACCTATTGAGTGATATCATACACCGGGCCAGTAGCGAATTGAGTTTGAGTCTGAAAGTGACGTGTAGGAGATGTTGTGAATAAAAATATGGAATCAACTAAAAAAAGACAGCAGGAAACAGAGTCAAATGGCGATATACGAATAATAATAATGATCTCTTCTCAGATACGCTACGTTTTCTCCTACTGAGTACCGTAATTATATTTTTATGAATTATCTCTTGGGCTCTCATTGAAATGTAGTGCTTCCTAAGGACATCTCCATTACTCTGAAACCTTCTTTAGCTGGCTCCACGACTGGCCATAAACTTTCATCTCCTTATCACACAATCTCCTTCGTGCTACCAAACTCAGTTCGTCGTTCCTCATTTGGATTACACCTGAATACCTAATCCGTAATATTACTGAATGGTCTCCTCAGTGTGAGCCCGATCTATCCTAATTTGTTCGGCAGTAGGTGGTTGGCGGATTCATCACCAGATTTCCTCATTGCTAATTCTTTCCGGTTGTTGATGAAGGTCTGTTGCAGGCTGTTGGAAACACGTTTTGTGACAGGCCAAGTCTCAGAGCCATGTAGAAGAAGTGAATTGGCACCAGTGTGTGTGACAGACTTCGGCACTAATTGTTATTATGTAACACCGCAAATTCGACACAGGCTTCTTCATGTCCTGAGTAAAACCCGAAATCATAACGAAATAGTTTCTATGATAT